ATTCACTCCTACGAATCCTTGGGTTACGAATGGAATAGGCAGACTCCATTACATTCGTAACTTGAGGATGGCCTGTAGTCTGTATAATGTATAGGAGAACCTGGAATACATATGTTTAATAAAATCATCTCTTACTTAAAAATCACCTTATTTAACATGTGGCTGCTGGGTGAGTTGATCTAACAGGTTGGAGTGAGGTGTCATCAATATGCTGATATACTCAGTTTTGTATCTTTACCTTGGGCTCCCTGAGGAATGCTGTGGATATCCTGTGCAAGTGCCTGAAGGCTATAGGGACATGTACAGTATGGGCTTCAAGTGAATCTAAGCAAGACTGAGTAGCTTTCAGTACCCTGTCACAAATGTACACCCAATTACAATCTGGTAGTACTCTTGGATTCAGGGCTCCTGTTAGAAGAGCTGGTGATAGCTCTGGCTAAGAGGGCCTTCACATACCTTCAGATTGTGCATCACTTGCACCCAATCACTGATATTCATGCCCTCATACCAGTGGTGGGTTGCAGGAAGTACGCTCTGGTACAGGTGTCTGGAGCATTGGGTACCGTTCCAGGATGGTGCTCCAGAGGACCCACCCACCCGCCCTCATTCCTTATGTGTATTTGAAGGAAACATGCCATCTGCGCATGTGCACACAGCATACGGAGCCTGAGTGACACTTCACCAAGCATCACTGAGGTATCACGGAGTGTCACAGGAGGTAAGAATGCAAGCGCACTGTGCACATTCATGTGATGGCCACCATGCCCCATTGCACCGTATCAGTTGCACTGGGATCTGGAACCCACCACTGCCTCATACCCTACCATTAGGATTGCTATAATGCACTCTGCTTGGAGTTGTGTCATGTCCAAAGAATCAAGAATGTTGACATATGACTTAAGTTTATATATTAACAGCTGTTGTTCCTGAAATATAACTATACTAAAGAAATTCTGCAATTTTCTGGGATAGAAATAAAATTCTTGATAATATAGTCATCTTAATTACCACTATTCTTCCCATTAATGATAACTGCAAATTCTTCGATTTCTCTATATCTGTTTCAATTTGGTTTCTTAATTTATAATAATTATCTTCCTTAACGGTTACACACCTCAAAGTATACCCAAGTATTTCGCTTTCTTCACTATTTGAATATCTAATTTCCCCATTATCTCCCTTTTCTTTTTTTCTGTTAAGTTTTTCACTAAAAGTTTTGTTTTATCTTTATTAATTTTCAGTCCTGCTACTTCTTCATACTCTTCTATATGATCAAGTAACTTTGCCCCTGTTTCTATTGGGTCTTCAAGAATAAACCCTAAATCGGCTTCCTGGGCGGGACTTACTGATGGTAGCAGCTAAACACAGCTGCTCCCGTATTACCAGTGGNTTGTTTGTTAGCAGCAGATATCTCTTCCTTAATTTTTACTTCCATCGCATCTGCGTGATTTTTTAAAGCATCAATTAATACTTTCTGCAAGATTTCTCTTGTCAGAAGCTCCACTGCAGAAGTAGGGGGAAGTAATGACTGTAATTTAGTAGTGGGCCCTGGAGAGCTGCCGGCACTTTTGGACGTAGGCGGTGGGGGTGGGAATATTTGCTTAGAAGCCATCTCATGTTTAATCATCTTTAGTCAGTTAATAAGTCCAGGCAAACCAATTATACAGCAGTTGCTATTTAGTTTGATAATAAATCACTTATAGGCTCCGTAAGAATGCTATCAAAGTCTAACCCCTCCTACACAGCTCGGCGCCATTTTGTGTGTCTTTCAGCAAGTAATTATCGGAAGGAATTCTTTACAGATGGAGCTAAGGATTTATACATACAATTAGAAGTTCACGAATATTGGTTCAGCTCGTCTTGAAGTCGAGGGTAAGTCAGTCTTTGTACTGAGGATGAGCGAAGACCTTTGTTCTACAGCAAAAGGCAGAATAAATCTTAGGTTTGTCTGTGTGTATGTGTGTGAGTGAGTGTATGTACAGGCTGTGAGTCTTAAAAAAATCTGAGTGAATCCAGGAAGAGGGAAGAGACAGAGGGGCTGGAAGGTTGAGTTTTGTGTGTGTGTATGTGTGTGTGTGTGTGTGTGTGTTGTGCACAGGCTTTGAGTCTTAAAAACATTTGAGTGAATCCAGGAAGAGGGAAGAGGCAGAGGGGCTGGAAGTGTATGCTGTACACAGGCTGTGAGTCTTAAAACATCTGAGTTAATCCAGGAAGTGGAAGATGTAGAGGGCCTGGAAGGCTGTGTGTCTGTGTGTGTGTGTTTGTGTGTGTGTATGTACAGGCGATGAGTCTGCAAAACGTCTGAGTGAATCCAGGAAGAGGGAAGAGTCAGAGGGTCTGAAAGTGTGTGTGTCTGTGTGTGTGTCTGTGTCTGTCTGTGAGTGTCTGTGTGTGTGTCTGTCCATGCACAGGATGTTATTCTTAAAACATGTGAGTGAATCACGGAAGAGGGAAGATGCAGAGGGGCTAGAAGTGTGTGTGCTGTGCACATGCTTTGAGTCTTAAAAAGGTCTGAGTGAATCCAGGAAGAGGGAAGAGGCAGAGGGGCTGGAAGTATGTGCTGTACACAGGCCGTTATTCTTAAAACATCTGAGTGAATCCAGGAAGAGGGAAGAGGCAGGGGGGCTGGAAGGGTGTGTTGTGCACAGGTTTTGACTCTTAAAAACGTCTGCCTGAATCCAGGAAGAGGGAAGAGGCAGAGGGGCTGGAAGTGCGTGTGTGTGTGTGTAGAGGCTGTGACTCTTAAAAACGTCTGAGTGAATCCATGAAGAGGGAAGTGGCAGAGGGGCTGGCAGTGTGTACCTCTTTGTGTTTGTGTCTTTGTGTGTGTGTTTGTGTGTGTACAGGCTGTGTGTCTTAAAACATCTGAGTGAATTCAGGAAGAGGGAAGAGGCAGAGGGGATGGAAGTCTCTGTGTCTCTGTGTGTGTTTCTGTTTGTGCAAAGGCTGTGAGTCTTAAAAACGTCTTAGTGAATGAAGGAAGAGGGATGTGGCAGAGGGGCTGACAGTGTGTTTGTGTTTGTGTGTGTATGTGTGTGTTTGTGAGTGTGTGTGTGTGTGTTTGTGAGTGTGTGTGTGTGTGTTGTGCACAGGCTGTGAGTCTTAAAACATCTGAGTGAATCCTGGAAGAGGGAGGAGCCAGAGGGCCTGGGAGTGTGTGTGTGTGTGTGTGTGTACAGGCTGTGACTCTTAAAAAGTCCGAGTGAATCCAGGAAGAGGAAACAGGCAAGGGGCTGGAAGTGTGTCTGTGTGTGTACGGGCTGTGACTCTTAAAAACGTCTGAATGAATCCAGTAAGAGGGAAGAGGCAGAGCCACTGGAAGTGTATGCTGTACACAGGCTGTGAGTCTTAAAACATCTGAGTGAATCCAGGAAGAGGGAAGTGGCAGAGGGGCTGGCAGTGTGTTTGTGTTTGTGTGTGTGTGTATGTGTGTGTGTGTGTGTGTACAGGCTGTGACTCTTTAAAACGTCTGAGTGAAACCAGGAAGCGGGAAGTGGAAGAGGGGCTGGCAGTGTGCATATGTGTGTGTGTGTGTGTGTGTGTGTGTGTNTGTTGTCGCGCTGCTGATGACGTCAGCGACGCCCTTTAATCGGGCGCGCTTTAGTGGACCGCGGTTTTGTCGTGCCACGAGGAAAAACATAGCAAAGGGAGAGTAGCAGAGAAATGGAGCAGGAAGGTAAGGGGGAAATCTGATGCCATGTAGTCCATACCTTGAAGTCATACCAGATTGATGTGCACCAAGAAGCTGAAACTAAGAGGCTTTTAAAAAAGTGCATCCCTATTACAAGTTAAGGGTGTGAAGGGTGTGAGAACAGCTAGGCTGGACCTAACTCAGGATCCAGCCTTTGCTTTCGAAAGATCAGAATCGTGCCAATCATGATATTCCCTAATATCTACAGACCCCTCGTATCCTGGACATAAACTGTTTTAACTCCGCTCCTCGGGTCACTGCTGCAGGGCATCGCATGCCAAAACAACTAGACAGAGGGACAGTTTCCCCCCTCGTGCCATCCCTCTGCTGAACACCTAATCCTCACAGTATTATCTTTTGTCTAGTTATCCACGTTGTATGGCTGTATTATTATTATTATTATTATTATTATTATTATTATTATTATTATTATTATTATTATTATTATCCTTGTCATCTTCTCTATTACCCCCTCTTATTGGTATCATTATTATGATTATTATTACTCTGTTGCTTTGCATGTAAATTGAGAGCTCCTGCATCGGAGACAAATTCATTGTGTGTCTAATTACATTTGGCCAAATAAAGTATTCTATTCTGTTCCGTCCCATCCCTTTTTTTTCTAGTCTAAATAAACAGCTAGCTGGTTATTTCAAGCCAGTACAATAAATCCAGTTCTCCAAAAGTTTCAATCTTCCTTCCCACCAAACCTTTAGCAACTCCTCCTGTTCCCTGGGTCTTGCTTGAGGTTTTTCCTTCCCCTGCTAGCTCTTTCACCTCATTGGGCCTTAGGAGTCATACATATTTACTCAAATGTGATGAAAAACCCTATATAAAACCATGTCGTTTGCTGGCTCTTTTGAGCTCAAGCCAACGTTCAAAGCAAAAGGGATGGCGGGAGGGGGGAACCCTCCGTCCCTCTGTAGATCAACAGAGACAGCCTTTCAACCCTTTCCCCCACCCCCCGAAAAAAGCATTCCCCCTCTCTCCATATGCAGAACAGAGAAGAATCGCACCTCGAGAAACTGAGTGTTTGCTAAAGGGATCGTTTAAAATAGGTTCCGGAGAAGGACGGCGGTGTCTATAAAAATTATAACGGTTCCCGGTAACCATGAAACGCATCATGTCAACAAACAGAAATGCTACCGCCCCTTCCCTTTTCTCCCTGCTGTTTTTGTTTTTCTAAAATTAATTGGGTGCCAAAGGAATGCTGGCTTGCTTTTGAAGCACGGCCAGATGGTACGGGCATCTCACCCCGCCAGGGAAGGAACGCCTGAAGGCGCCGAAGCCATAATTCTATCCGGTTTACCTGAAGCATGTTGAGAAGAAGACTCCGGAATTTGGTCCCATCCACCATGAAGAGAGCCATCTTGTCGCACAGCATGGCCGCGGTGCACGCAAAGCTGCGGTCGGTCACGGCCTTCTGATAGATGGTCTTGACGATTTCCCCCAGCATCTCCTCGGAGTTGGTGGAATTCTGGGCTTCCTCCATGAAGTTGGTGAGCTTGGAGTCCACCCCGCTGCTATTGTTATTCCTCATGCTATTGAGAATCTCAATTAATTTGTCCATTTTGTTCCTTTGTGGGTCCGTGGACTCCACCACCACTTCGTCCTGATCCGTGAAAAGGGAAAGACAAGGCATCTGTTACGCAAGGGAGACATGGAGGGAGAAAGAGAAGAGAACACGGATCAGCACTTTGGGACAAGCCATGATGGTTAGGAGGCATCAAACAAAAAGCTAGCATAGAAACCTGCCTGCTCAGTCTAGGACCATCCAGGGAATTCTGGGATTTGTGGTCCCAATAGCAATAGCACCTAGACTTATATATCGCTTCACAGTGCTTTCCAGCCCTCTCTAAGTGGTTTACAGAGTCAGTCTCTTGCCCTCAACAATCTGGCTCCTCATTTTAACCATCTATGACGGAAGGAAGGCTGAGTCAACCTTGAGCCAGTCAGAATCGAACTGCTGGCAGTGGGCAGTGAATTAGCCTGCACTACTGCATTCTAACCACTGGGAAGAGAAGGGTGGGAGGGCAATAGCCCTTAGAGTTATATACTGCTTCACAATGCTTTTACAGCCCTGTCTAAGCGGTTTACAGAGTCAGCCTATTGTCCCCAACAATCTGGGTCCTCATTTTACCCGCCTCTGAAGGATGGAAGGCTGAGTCAACCTTGAGCCGGTCAGAATCGAACTGCTGGCAGTCAGCAGTGAATTAGCCTGCACTACTGCATTCTAACCACTGGGAAGAGAAGGGAGGGAGGGCAATAGCCCTTAGACTTATATACCGCTTCACAATGCTTTTACAGCCCTGTCTAAGTGGTTTACAGAGTCAGCCTATTGCCCCCAACAATTTGGGTCCTCATTTTACCCACCTCTGAAGGATGGAAGGCTGAGTCAACCTTGAGCCGGTCAGAATCGAACTGCTGACAGTGAGCAGTGAATTAGCCTGCAATACTGCATTCTAACCACTGGGAAGAGAAGGGAGGGAGGGCAATAGCCCTTAGACTTATATACCGCTTCA